AAAAGCAAGAGCAGTAAAGTGTGAGCATTCAGGGAATTTTTGGTACTATTTTTGCAACTTTTCTCTATGCCTGAAATTATTTTAATGATATGCTTGGATTTTTTGGAGAGGTACTGGGGATTGAACCCAGGGCCTTTACAATGACATCCCCAGTCCTTTTAAAAATATTTAAATGTTGAGACAGAATCTCCCTAAGTCACCAAGTTCCCCAAGCTAGGTTAGAATTTACAACCCTCCTGTCTCAGCCTCCCAGAGTCCAGGGATTACAGATGTGCACTGCCACACTTGGCATTTTGTTGTTTTAATGCAGATTTTTCTGATTTAGTTTCAACCCAGGCTGTTAAGTGTGCCCACATTCTAAAACAAGAGGACAGAGAGGTAGAGAGATGGCCCCCGAAGCAGCAGGGAGACAAAGAGCTTTCTATGGAGGCAGTGATGGGGGGGGGGGCCCTGCCCCGTGGGTACAGGTGCTGGGATCAATCACCTCCCTCTCACAGGCTGATGGAGGGGCTTGGAGGAGCCCAGCTTCCCAGCTTGACCTGTGTGTCCTGAGTTCTGGGGCCTCAAGGAGGAGCTGAGACTGGAGGGTGGAATGGGCCTGAGGAAGGGGGTGCCCTTCACAGCCCTGCAATGACAGCCACAACTCCCACCCGGTCAAGATTAGAAATCCCCCCAGGAGCCCGGGATTTAGCCCAGTGGCACTACACCCGCCTTGCAAGCGCGCGGTCCTGAGTTCGAGCCCCGGTACCAAAAAAAAAAATATATATATATATATATATATCCCCCAGGAAAGTGCTAGTGCTGCCTGGCCCGTGAAGCACTCACAAATGGCTCTCTGGCATCAGGGGCTGGAGCGCAGGGGACAAGTGGATTCCTAGTTCAGTGTGCTCAAGCTGGTAAGAGTTGGGCTAGCTGTCAGGGACTCACTCCCAGAGCTGAGTTTTGGGAAAAGGCACCCAATAGACCCAGACTGGACCTCGTGAGCAAGTGGGCGGTCCGGGACTACTGCTTCTGCGCAGGTACCGGACAGGGACGGCTGGCGCTCCCCTTGGTGGTACAGTTGAGTCACGGGCCCCACTCACCGCGGGTCAGGAACGGCTGGGCGGTCTGCTGAGCGGCCCCTTCTGATTGAAGGGAGCAGAGCTGGCTCCGGTGGGAAGGGGCCCTTTTCCGTTCTCTCTGGGGACATTACCGGCCCTCTGTGAGCTCCAGGGTTGGGTCAGGATCTCATTCCTTTCCGAAACTCTAAAGCCCAGCACTGGAGACGGGCTGGTGACTTTACAATTCGAGGACGTTTTAAGTGAAGACATGGTGACCTAGGTGTTATAAACATTCATGTTCATGGGGCCACGTTTAGCCTCTCCAAGACTGCTGCTCTGGTCCGGGATGGGGCACACAGCAGGTGCTCGGCCATAGGAGCTAACATCTGCTACATGTAATAGCGCTGATTTCAATATGCAAATGGCATAAAGTGAGGTTTGAAAAGATTGCATATCTAACTAACCTGTGCCTGAGTAGGGTGCTGGGGGCAGAGTCACTGTCTTCTGTCACCGTCACTGTCACTGGGCCGCTATCTTCCAAAACAGGGCTATTTCTGGCGGGTTGGATGTACCTTCTTTGCCTGGCTCCACCCCTTTCTCTCCCCAGGTGACCTGAAGAGGTGGGGCCTCAAACCAGCACCCCCACATCAAAGCCCAGCAGCAGGACCAATGTCCCCCCCACACCTCAAGCAGTGCCAGGATCGGATTTGCAGACAAGGCCCAAACTAGCAGTGGAAGCAAATGTGAATGTTCTGACATCCCAAACCCAGGGATGAGAGCTGAATGCCAAACGCCAGCCAGGGTGAGCGACATCTTAGTCGTGGAACTGCCAGCAGATGTGACACAAGCCACTCAGATGTGGAGATGCTGTGAAGAGGAAGAGAGGGTTCAAAGCAGGACACCCCAGGGTACACACTCAGGTGAGAATCCCGGAGACACTGTGTTCCTTCAGTTCTGTCGAGGTGGAGTGTCACGTGGTGGCTTTAGGTCATGTAGGCTCAGCATGAAGAAATTGCATCCACTCAGTGCTGGAGCTGGGGGGTCATTTGGGGTTATTTCTCCCCGCCTCCCCTCAACCCCCAGTAGGGAGAGGGGGTAGTTTGGTTCACCCCTGGCCAGTGGGTAGCCCATGGCTCAGACACTGAACAAGACAGGGTAGCAGGAAATGCATGGCCTAACAAAAGCCCATATTCACCGGCCTCTGGACAGATGGCATGGCGAGCATCCTTCCGCTGTGTGTGCACCTGACACTCTCACTGCAGGTGTGGAAGGAAGGTACAGTTCCTGTTTCCCATTTATACATGAGGAAACAAGTTCGGAGAGGGAAAGTGGCTTTTCTGAGGCCACTCAGCTAGCAAGCCACAAAGCCAGGCTGATGTTCCTCTCTGGGAGCCTGCTCTGTCCCACTTTCCAGCCAACCCATAACTGAGGGGACAGCAAGGGGGCAGTGTGCCCAACAAGCACTTGAAGTCTGGGCCTCTTCCAATACAGCCCTCACCCCAGGAATGTTTAGGGTTTTTCCCATTATCTTCCAAATGGAGGACATGCAAAAAATACATGAGTGACAGTGTGTGATTACAGGCAAGGCTCTCTGGGATTCCTCTCCAGCCCACCTCCCCCAAACTGAAGCTTCCGGGAGCGCAGGGACACAGTGGGCATCTTTGTCCCCGGTGTCTGTACAGCTGGTGCTCAGCAAACACAGTGATGGCCTGGTTACAGTACAGAGGAAGGGAGGGGTCCTTTGCACAGGTGGGGACAGCCCCTCCTGCCTCCCAGCCCCCATGATTTTCCTCCAAACCTGGCCTCCCCCAGACAAAGCCTGGACACAGCAGGGATGCACTGGCCGCTGTCAGCCTTGTTCAGGGACCTTGGGTCTTGCCACCTGGCTCTTGGCAGTGTCCCTCATCGATGAGATAATTGCTTTAGGAGGAAACTTTTAGGAGCCTGCTATGTCCATGGAGGGACAGGGACTCCGAGGAGGGAAAGGGGGTGAGACAAGCTTCCCTGTGGCCCAGCCTCCGCCAGGTACCTCCAGGACTCTGGCCACAAGGCCAGCTGTGAGGGGTGACAGTGCCCATCCCTGCGTGGGGCGGACACAGGCCTGCCCTGGGCTTTGTCTGGACCGTGTCTTCCTTGTCTGTAGCATGACATCAGGGGCCCCTTGGGCAAGGCGCTGTGAGATCCCAGGGGCAGGGGAAACCAATGGCTGCTGGCTTTGGCTTCAGGGTCAAGGAGGCCTTGAGGGCAGCCTCGCTCTCTGTGGCCTTTTCCAGCACAGCCTGGGGACAGCCAGGTCTCAGCCTCATCTCACAGCGGTCAGGTAGAACTGGGAAGCGAGTTGTAGCAAGGATGGGAGCCAACAGGAGGCACCACCTGGCCCAGGCAAATCCCTCAATGGTGATGGCTGCTGCTCTGGCAGTGCTGGGGTCGTGACAGAATGCCTGGCACATAGGCTGGGGCATGGAGGAGATGGCACACATGGTACATGCCATGCTGCACTGGCCCAGGGAAGCAGAGAGCCATTAAATAAAACAGGCTGGGCATGGTGGTGCACGCCTATAATCCTAGCACTCTGGGAGGCTGAGGCAGGAGGGTTGTAAGTTCAAGCCCAGCCTGGGCAACTTGGTAATTTAGTGAGACCCTGTCTCAAAATAAAAATTTTTTTAAAGGGCTGGGGATGTAGCTCAGAGTAAATGTCCTGGGTTCAATCCCTAGTACCATAAAAAAAAAAAAAATAGAAGTTCAGTGCGAAGGCAGAAGACAGCCTTTGTATTTTGTCCCATTCATCTGCCCTAGGTCCAGCACCCGTGGGTCCGGGGACAGAGTGTTGCAGTGACAGTGTTGTCCTCAGACGTTCAGTGAGCAGTAGGGGAGGGCACGAGAATAATGGCGTGGGAGGGAGGCGGGGCACCCCCACCGACCTGAACAGTGCCCCCTATTTTCCCTTCCTGCCCCCAGCTGACCCCAGTCTCCGCCACCCACCTTGAACCCTAGTCCCAAAACGCCATTTCCACGACCTTCCTCCTCTGCTGGAAGCCACAATGCCTCGAGGTCCTGCTGCAGAGCCCGCCCCTCAGTGGGAAACAGCCCCAGGTGGGTGGGGTCTGCTCCACAGAGGGCCCCGCCTTCTCGTTCCCCACGGGGCTCCATCCTCTCGCCCAGCTTGACCCATTCTGCCTGGTCCCCACCTCCAGCTTCTCTCCCTGGGCTCCTTTTTCCCGGTTTTCCGGTCTTTGGAAGTCATTACTCCCAAGGCTGAGGGCAACTCCCCGTGCTCTCCAACCCACGTTGCTCCTCTGTCCTCAAAGAACTTCTCTGGGGAAAGAATGCACCTCACCCCTGCGCCCCTGCACACTCACAGCGCACGGGAAAACACTCGGAACTGGCTGGGGAGCAGCTCACGGACAGAGCACCTGCTCGGACTGGCTCCAGCCCCAGCACCGCGAGAGCACACACACGCACTCACTATCCAACAGATTCAGGTAAAAGTCGCAGGAATCGCAGGAGGGAGAAGTCTAGTCCCACAGGGGCTGGACTGCACAAAGGAAAGACAACACTTGAGCTTAGCCAAAAGGCCAAGAAGCGACGGTGCGGGACAAACAAACGGCAGAATTGCTGCTTAGGACATGACTCTTTTCCCTATGTCTGGGAACCTGATCTTCCCCAAACATAGGAAAGTGCCAGCGTGCTTTTTTGGTCTGCAGACCCGCCTCGCCGGACAGGGGAGGAAGGCGTGAAGTGGGCGTGGCGATGGCGGGGGGGGGGG